TATATATATATATATATATATATATTTGTGCAAACACTAAAAAAATATTTAAATTTAATATTTAAGACAGGCTTCTGAAAAAGAACAAGCATAGTTGGTGTCAACACTTCAAAAAGCAGCCTGAACCGTGCGGTCCAAACTAAAAACATAAGATTTTGAATTGAAGAATATATAATATGATACAAACGAGATTTTATTCTGGAAATTCTGCTGACTCCGAAAATAAAATGTAATGTCCTCTTACATTATAGCAATTATATTTTTGTCATAAATGTTGAAAACCCCCGGAATGTTAATTGTTAAATAATAATTTATATCACGAATTTATATGCTATTGATGTTTCGTTACACTTGGTATACCTCACATCTTAATAAATACATCCATTTTTTTAAAATAAAATACATTAAATAAATCGCAGTATAAAAATGATTTAATTAGGTTTAAAATATATATAAAAATGTATAAATGATAAGGTTTTAAGAGAAAGTTTTTTTAAAATCTTACAAATTAAATATATAAGGACTGATTAATTATATAATATACGACTACTACTTTAGTTTTCGTAACGTCCTTTGACCACTCAAAATCGCATTTAGGAATCAATGTCGTGTGATGACATAGTTAAAAGACCCAAAAGAAAGAACTATCATATGGCTGAATATTTAATTTGATATTCCGTATCAATTTTTAAACATAGTTTGACCGATCTTTCACTGTATAAATGTATAGATTCCGTGTAATATATAATGATGGTCGAATAATTCACATTTATATATAAATTTTCAAAAATAGATTCGACACACTTTTGGGTCTAATATATATTAATATGTATACTCTTACCTGTAAAATCCTCACCTAAACTATGACTTATTCATAAAAACATGAAAAGAAATAAATTCATGTTATTTTGTTTGTACAATAAGTTGAATAAAGAATTTATCAAATATCTCTAAGAAGATTCTTTGTTGCACTTATTTTTTAGTGATGAAATAGTTTTTCAAATTCGGTTAGCAGATAACACGACAAAAACACACACAACAATTTGATTTCATCATAAACACACTCGCTCCTCGAAACATTATTAATCACACAATGAATTCCGTCATGATTAATTCCAATTCCGGTTCGTTCGGGTATCATTCATTTTCAATTCGGTTCAGGTCCCCATTTGAGCTAAACCAAATTCAAACCGACATACAAATAAAACCAAACTAACTTCTAATCGGGTGGGATTAAGATGCAAAATGGATTGGCTCACCAGCCGGCCTTTCTTCTGGGTCTAATTTAGACTGCTCTTTGGACCGTCCGGTCCGACCTTGACCCCGGTCTGCTTGAGTTGGCCCGCGACAGATTGCCTCCCCGGATGGCAGGACCCCATTTTTTCCTAGTATTTTTCCAACCCAACTCGATAAAAACGAGCTGGCTCGGTTCTAACGGGTCTAGCTCGTTTCTACATGCAAGGTCGGATCTGTCTCACCGCCTGTTGGCGAATAGGTAATATTGTAGAATTGTGACCAAATGGGAAAACAAAGACCTCTGTTCAAATTCTACTGTCCCCAGTCGTCACCCCCATGACCACAAACAACAGTTTGATGTCCGAATCCCACACAAAACTTGTCTAATCAGAAGAAAGAATTCTTGCCTGAAGAATATAACTTCATAAGAGATCGGCAAAAAAAAACAAGAAGAAAGAAGTTATTCCAGGTTCGTTCCATATTAGTCTTTAACTCGTCACGGAGAGAAAAAGGGTTTTGAATGATTTCTACTCTGGTGACAGGAATGGAGAGGGCAAAGACAGAAGAACATCTAAAAGGGTTTTTCTTTTTCACTGCATGGACTGAAAGCGTTTCATGATGAGCATACTCAGATCCATATAACGCTGACTGCAGTAAGTGAGGCAAGAGGTTTCGCTCGAGCTGAACTTGCTCCCGGGCGTGCCCGTGATGCATTTGTCCCAGCACACGCTCGTCAGCTTCGCCACCATCTCATTCACCATCGCCCTTTCCTTTTCTTGCTGCCCCCATCCCCACCCACAAGTTTTACAGATCATTAGCAAAGTATGATCAGAGGATTTTTTTCATTAAGTTTACTCGAAGTAGATAGACAGCCATAGCAGGACACAGATATACAACAAAACGGGTAAATCGCATAGAGAGCAGATCACATTTCGGCATTAACTTCAAAGGTATATAACTATATAATCTTTAAGCATGCCTAAGATAAATGATTCCTACCAAAACCAGGATATATTCAAGGACAGGAAGCCTAGACCCTAAAACAGAGGGAGAACAAGTCCAACCACTGAATCTGAACTCATCCTAGCTTCTACCAAAACACAGGACCAGACAATGAGTAACAAGAAGATTTTCACACATTCCAAATGGATTCAACAGCTAAGAAAGAAGCTCATTTTTTTTGTTATGTAAACCCTAAATACACAAACAAACTCGATTATGGACTCCTTTTGTAAACATGAAAGAGGTTTTCTTAAATCACTCGATCATAAACCCTAGCAGTTTACGTTTAACAAAACCCTAAACCCTGATATATATAATCAAGTCAGATTGGCCAAAAGCTCAACTCAAACCAAGGGATTCCAATGCATTCAAACAAATCCTCAAGAAAATCTAAGTTCATTCAGAGATCATAACCTAGAAAGAAATACCAACAACAGGAGCTCAATTTCAACGCGAATCAACCGACCATCTACGTAGCGAGGTTCTCGTAACTCTCACGAGAATGATGAAGAGACAAAATTGAAAGACTTACGTTGAGCATTCGCATCAATTCAGGGTTGCCAGCGACGGAAGGATCCATGGCGTACGTAAGCGTCTCGGTTTGAGAAGAAGACGAGAGGGAGAGAGAGAGAAATCAAACTTTGGTGGAGAGCGAGTGAAACCCTAATAGCATCTGTCTAAAACGCCAAGGAGCCTTAGGAGGCGATACGGCCGCCATGGAATTAAGCTGACTCTCTGAGTTATGTTTGAACATCTGACTTTGTTATTGGGCCTAAAAGCCCAATCCATAAGTATCCCTGTTTTATTTTCTGTCTAAAAAATAAAACATATCCCAAAAAAATATTTGTAATTACTAATCACGTGTTTTTTACTTATATTATGCAATTAATATTAGACACGTTAAAATATAGGTCATATATATATATATGTGATAGGATTATTGTTATGAAAATCCTAAATTATAGTTTTTGTGATTAGATCATCGAATATATTCGAGAAATATCCTAAAATATGGTATTTTTGACAGGATTATATCTTATTAATAAGATGAATTAAAAATATTTTTTTTAAGTGGAGATTTTAAAATGGAATAGACTAAGCTGCTAGCCCATCCATTAACAATAAAAATTGGGTCACATTTGTTATTAATATTAATTAAGTAGATTTAATATGTTTATCCTATTAAATATATAAATTTAATTATGGACTAAATCTATTTAGCCTAAGATCAATGTGAAGACGGGTTATTTCAGCTCCGTCTTGTAGTATCACATAGGAAACTGCAATGCATCTCAAATCATGGTTATTTTAAAATCAAATATAAATTCATATAATTTGATATTGTTGGTTAGATCTTACGATGAAAAGATAAAGTTAAATGATTGTACTATAAATGTTCTATGATCACTATGTAAACCAAATATATATATATATATATGTCCAATATATATAACTTAGTCTTCCAATCCACATTATGATAGAATTTGGTGTGTGTGTGTATATATATATATATATATATATATATATATATATTGTGTGTGTGTGTGTGTGTGTGAATTTAGCATGGTCATTTTATCTCTGCCAATCCATGATTGGTAGTAGACATTTGACGATGAGTGCCAAGTGCTACGTATTCGACCCATATAAAGTCCATTTAACCTATATTATCAAACTTTATAATTTAATAATTAAAATGGTTGGGTCTGAAATGTTGGTAATCAAAATGAAAATAAAAGAAAATAAAATAAAAGAAAATAAAATAAAAGAAAAAAAAATAAGAAAAAGAAAAAGAAGCAAACATCTTCAAGGCGAAGAAAAGTACCAAATCCAAATTGCTGCGTAGGAGTAAGCAAGATGTATGATTTCTATTTTGACAATTTGTTTTTAAAATTTCAACTTTTCAATAAATAAAAAAGCATGGCTTTGTATACAATGATCCCCTTCACTTTAATCTCAAAATTAATGCCAATAAATAGAAAAGAATAACACTCTCTCCAACTTTATAATATATAGTACTTCAATAATTATATTTATACGACTAATTTATGTAACAAAAATCTTTATTATTCTCATGCTAAGTAATTATATTTACCTATATCGTCTTAATTTCACCAAGTGTTATTCTATCTTGGCCCTTTTCATATCGGCTTTGTTCTTATGATCATGTCTATATGTGTCTCTCAAGAATAACCTTGCAACTTGAATTCTGCAAGTACCTAGTTTTTATTGTCAATTATAAATTAATTTAGATGTTATTTTCAATATTAATCTTATTGAAATTATAATTACATCTATATTTTAAATTTGAGTAAGTATTTTCCGGGTAATATTTCAAAAATAATATGTGTGTATATATATAGTTATAATTGGCCAAACCCGTAAATGGCTTTTTATCAAAATCGGAGTTTAAAAGTTGAAGGAAAAGAATTATGAATTTTGGTCGATTTAGGTATCTTTATGAATGTTCAATAGAAAGAAAAAGAAGAGAAATGATCAAAAGCCATAACCACCAAACCAATTTAATACATTATATATATATATATATATATAACTATTCAAATAAACAAAATAAAGAGGTTTTAATGGGAACTTAAAAGGAAGAGGGACATAGTGAGGAAGCCCTACGTCTCGAAACTTACTCGTTAAGTCAGCCCTTTTCTTTACCACCTTTAGACTTCAATTTCTCACGACACTTGGGCTAATCAAATTGTCATGTGACAATTTCTTCTTCATATTGACGACCATATTTCATTTTCATTACCATTTCTTTAGGAATGTTCCAAGAATCTCTCTCTGAAGGATACTATATTTCTGTCTATTTATGGTAATGAATAGATGTTTAATGAAACAACGGAACATTGAGTAGTTGAAACTTGAATTAACGTACTTAATTAGGAGTTAGATAATATTTTCAAATATTTTAATATATTTGGCACGATTTATATTTAAATAATGACTCGTATTTATTCATTTTAAACGCTTTCATATATATATATCATTATATCACCATAATATTTAGTTAGTCTTTCATGTCGACAAAATCTTTGATATTTTTATACTTTTGCTATGGGTCAATCAAACATGGAAAATGGGGATTACCGATTAGATTACAAAAGAAATATACTTTTGTTATCACATTTCATGTGGCCACGCAGATTTCGCATCTTACCATAGCAGCCAAAAAAGCTTTTGTATCTTTTTTTTTTTTTTGGTTGAAATGTTTAATGCTTTTGAAGGAAAGAAAACGAGCAAAATTCACTTTTGATTAAACCACGTTTGAATTAAAATGTCACTATATATGTAGCATAAACCAAGAACGAAAGTCTTCGCCATTGAAGAGGGCTTGAGTCATTCAAATTGATGAAGAAGAAAAGTTACCATATGGACATATCGATGCAGAGATTCGTAGTGAATGGAAGAACCGTGAGATTGCCTCCCGGTTTTCGTTTTCATCCCGAAGAGGAAGATCTCGTCTTCGAGTATTTAGCCAAGAAGGTCCTCAACCGTCCCATGGATTTCAATCTCCCCGAGATCGAATCTTACAATGCCGATCCTTGGGACTTGCTAGGTTTGCTCATCCCACATTCTCTCTCTTTATGTTTTATCGTGTTTTTGTCTACAAATGCACGAAATTGAGAATGTGTTATACACCGAATAGAATCCAACTTGTTAGCTTGTAATGAAGCGTGGTGGTCAATGTATATCTCAACCGATTTAACTCGGATTCTCGCTCTTTCTTCCTTTTATCTTCAAGTCTACAACGTAAATCGTTATATCTCAAAAGGGTTTAAGTCAAATTAGTTTCCTATAGAACACTCGAACTAGAAGACGGCCAACAGTCCAAAATGATCTTCTTGAAATACTAGCTAGGGTTTTGACAGTCAGTCACTGTCGTTTAGTTACGTTAACAAAGAGAAGACGAATCGATGTCGTCTTCTAATACAGGAGAGAAGAACAACGAAGCATATTTCTTCGCAAAGAAGCAAGAGAGGGAGAGAAAGAGAAGAGAGACGGATTCAGGGTATTGGGAAGAATGTGAAGAAGAGATGGAAATGGAAGCTAGGGATCAGAACAATTACGGATTAGGGTTTAAGGGAATGAAGAAAACGTTCGTCTTCTTCATCGGCAAAAGGTCTCGAGGATCGATAACTCCATGGCTTATGCACGAATTCCGTCTAGTGTACGTCGCGAACGCAAGATCTCCGTGTCCTATACGTCTTAAGGCACGTTCAAAACCTTTAACTCCATGCACAAACCGGTCTCTTTCGAGATCATACTTGTGTTTTTTTTGTTTTAGTTATGTTTTTTTTTTCTCGTTCGATGTTTTCAGGATGCAATAGATAAATGGAGGGCGATTAAAGTGTTTGCTAAGAGCGATGAGAGCGAAGAGGAGGAGATGGAGGAGGATGACTTCACGGCTTCAGACGAGTCGGATGGTGAAGAAGTTGTTCAAAATGGTTCGGTTTGGTGGTGAATCATCTGAATTTATTTAGTATAATATATATATATATATATATATATATATATATATATATTAAGTGTGGCATTTAGATGTTAGAACATATTATCATCGATATGTTTTGTCTCTGCACAAAAATGTTGCAATTGGATAAACATTGAGTTTGCTTTTGTAATCCGTATAGCTTAAGGTTGTCCATGAATGGAAAAAAAAAAGTAACCACCAAAAATTAAAGCAAACAAAAAAAAAATTGATTGAGTAGTTGAATCATAAATTAATTTTATGTTTAAAAAACAATCATTATATATATAAATATATATATATATATATATATATATGAAATTCAGGGTGCATTCATAGTTTATGATAAGCTTTGTTTGAAATGAAATGCGACTATACGTATATCCTATTCGTGAATAAATTTAATAAAAAAAAAATAGTATGTGTTTGGTAATGGCATATACCTTTCTCTTTTTCGACGTGCATTTGCTTTTTTTATTTTCTAAATTTAATAACTATTAATTGAAAAGTTTTATTTTCCCCTAAACAATGATATATATATATATATATATATGCACCTTTTCGTGACGCATATATATGCGTTTTAGTCTTCACGAAAAAATTCACCCATTTTGTAATTAAATGTGAATAGAATCTATCTAAATTGTGTTTACATTAAGAAAAAATGGAGTAATCCAAATTACATTCGGCCATCAGTTATAACGACAAAGGCAATGGCTAATTAATAATATTACATGATCTCTATCGATTGAATCAAGTATGATATTTCCATATACATATTTTTAATTTAACAAAAAATATACTTAAATTCAAAATTTTCTAAATATCTATACGAATTATTAAAATTAACAGTAATTATATATATAATCATCATTTTCGTTAAACTTTTTCAGATTCTATTAACTGATGCGATGATGTGTACCGGTCAGAAAATTATTTTACGATAAGTAAATATCCACGCTTAAAGATACAGGAAAAGTCCAATAAATGGATCCTGAGTGGATCAATCTAACATCACTGTATTTCCCTAATGTAGGTTTTTGACACGTGATTCATGTTTATATGTAACAACATACAAACATCATTTAAAAATTACAAAATAGAGATAGAGATTTTTTTTACCGTGTCCAAAAATAGTAAAATCAAAGAAAGAAAAAAAACCCAATATTACTTTAAAAGATGTTCAAAGATATTCTTGGGGGAAAAAAACACGTGTCAATTGGCATGCAGTGACCTCTAAAACATATCTGAAAACTCATGGTTTCCAACGAAGAGTCAAATGTCTTCGAAGAAACATTTTGAGGTAAGAACAAAAACCCAACTCATTCTTTCTTTTGCCTCAAAGAGACAACAAATTTCACTAAATTTAGCAAACAAAATCTAAAGAAACCAAATCACATTTCCCTCCTTAATATATCATAAATTCATGACCCCATCTTCTTCCCAAAGGAAAGGAAGAAAAAAAATTCAAACCCGTCACCAAACCTGTAACCAGTCAAAGAAGGGAAAGATGGGTTGCGGTGGTTCGAGGATGGGTGGTGCGGAAGGGGAGGCGGTCCCAGCCGGCATCCGGCCGCTTCTGAGACGGCGGCTGGGGGGGGTGAAGAAACGGAGCCAAGCAAGTGTTCTGAAAGGTAACCAGACCCTGTCCAAGAAGGAGCTTCTCCGGCACAGAATCGGCAGCTCTGATGGGGAGGAGACCGAGCATGACGTCAGCATGAGGTCAGCTAAGGTGGCTCCGGCCCCTGACCACGACGAGGTCAATAACAATAACATGGAGGTTGTTTATGAGGAGGTGGAGGAGAAGATCATCGAGGTTGTGAAGGAAGGAGAGGTCGATCATCATGATGGTCATGGTCATGGTCATGTCTGTCATGATGGGTGTGATGTGCATGGCGATGATTATCATCATGAGGAAGAGGAAGGGGAATTAGAGAAGGACGATGACGAAGAAGAGGGAAGAATGAGCAACTTCGACGAGAGAATGATATGTCCTGCATCGCCTAGTTTCAGGGTTTATTGCATCCATCTTTCGGATTCCGACGATGAATTTGAAGGTAAATATTTCTTCCATCTTATTACAGTTTCTTGTTCCATTTTCAGAGAGCATGCATTCTTTGATATCATAGGGAAATCTTTGATATCTTTTCATAAAAAAACATCTCATAAAATCGAAATGATCCCCTTGCCGTTTTTGTAAAGAGATGAATTGGTGTTTCTCTTTACGTGCATTATGCATGCATGCATGCATATAGAACATGTAGATTTTAGTGATTTGGAGAGTATTTGGTCGTGAAAGAAGGTGGAGAACACAAACAAACTCTAACTAGAAACAATTAAGAACAAGAAGCCGAGAAAAGCGAAGAATAGGGCTGAAAGTGTATAGGGTGAAAGGGGACTTCGTCCCTTCTTTTTTCACTTCATAAATCTGTACAAAATGCATGAATTTATACAAGAAAAAGAGAAACTAGTCGTTGGCTAATTGAGAAACAAAAAAGGAAACAAATCAACTACAAACGGCTAGAAATAATTAAGGAAAGATTGTGCAGATTTTGTGATGATGTACTCCATGATTCTTGGCTCTTCTCCAACGTCTCTTTGGCAAGATTTGCAGCATATTCTTCATTTATTTCATCAATAAACGAAATCCTGATAAGGCAAGTGTCTTCATGTGGTTTGGAGTTCTTTTTGTTCTTCATGACAACAAGAACCGAATATAGTAAGTGTCCTTTCGTCCATAAGTTTCCCATGTCTTCATTTATGATTGAACTTGTTGAACTCAAGTGCTTCATTGAATGAGCATGTCCAAATGCTTGATTAATTCTTTGTTCTTCATCATTCCCCCTCAAGATTAGCTTGGATGATTTTCAGAAAGCTAATCTTGCTAGGAGAATGCATTGCTCGATCTTCATGTGTCCAAGCTCATTCCATGATTGTTCCTTTCGTTTCAAGTTTTCCATGTGTTGTAAATCAGATTTTATTTTCTGCATATACTTAACAAAATGATTAGAAACCACAAGGGAGGCCATAGCACTCCGATTGACACAAGAAACCGAATGTAATAATGCACAAGCATGTTTATCATCAAATAGCAATAAGAAGAGAGTTCTAACATGCTTAAACTCAGCTAGATGGTTTTTCATATAATATAGGATTAGAAATGATATTCTATTTGTGCAGATTTTGTGATGATGTACTCCATGATTCTTGGCTCTTCTCCAACGTCTCTTTGGTAAAATTTGCAGCATATTCTTCATTTATTTCATCAATAAACGAAATCCTGATAAGGCAAGTGTCTTCATGTGGTTTGGAGTTCTTTTTGTTCTTCATGACAACAAGAACCGAATATAGTAAGTGTCCTTTCGTCCATAAGTTTCCCATGTCTTCATTTATGATTGAACTTGTTGAACTAAAGTGCTTCATTGAATGAGCATGTCCAAATGCTTGATTAATTCTTTGTTCTTCAACATTCCCCCTCAAGATTAGCTTGGATGATTTTCAGAAAGCTAATCTTGCTAGGAGAATGCATTGCTCGATCTTCATGTGTCCAAGCTCATTCCATGATTGTTCCTTTCGTTTCAAGTTTTCCATGTGTTGTAAATCAGATTTTATTTTCTGCATATACTTAACAAAATGATTAGAAACCACAAGGGAGGCCATGGCACTCCGATTGACACAAGAAACCGAATGTAATAATGCACAAGCATGTTTATCATCAAATAGCAATAAGAAGAGAGTTCTAACATGCTTAAACTCAGCTAGATGGTTTTTCATATAATATAGGATTAGAAATGATATTCTATCAAAATAATGTTTTGATTTTAATGACAATGCAATGCATAATGCTAAGTACTCATGCAAGATATGAAACATGCTAATTTTTGTTATCTTATAGTTTTCGTATGTAGTACCATGCATATTATGATTTACTGTGGAATATGTTTCATTGGAATATGCATATAAAAATTCATCTGTAAATATACCAGGATCAAGTATAAAGACATAAAATGAAAAATTACCAAGCCTAGAGACGTTGGAACTCTTAGGCAATGCACCCACCATTTTTGACAGATTTGTGCTCTTGAATTAGGATTCAACCGAATATGTGTGGCATGGATAGGAGAATGCATAGTCTCCTCGTATGGTTGATTCTCTTGAGACATTTTATCCTCTTTGTGGTTCTTGTGTCCTCCTTCCACTTTGTTTTCGGTCTCCTTCTCCTTTATGATCAGCTCTATTGTGCTCTCTTCCTGCCTTTTTTTCATCATTTGAACAAACTCATTAGAATTAAAGAGGGATTCAAGGAGTGAAGGAGTTAACCGTATGTTGCAGTCTTTGATCGTTGAGAGTAAAGCCTCCTTGATATCCGATGGGAGATGATCAAACACGTTGTCATCCACAACACTTTCCTTCTCATCTTCTTGCTCAAAAATGGGCTCTTCATCCACACTCATGGCTGCTATCTCTTCTATGGATAGTTTATGCCATGCTTCAATGGATTCTTTAGAAGACCAATATTCTGTGACGTTACCATGTTCATCTACACAATATGTGCAATGATTTCCTTCCTCATCTTCTAAAGGACCATAATTAACATCCCAAGAACTCCACATATGGTTGAAGTGGATTGTAAAATGTTAAAAGGGATGAAAATTCTGATGAAAATGAGAAAACAATACCTTTCCTCTCGGTTTTGGATGTAAGAACCGAAAAGGACAGAGAAATGGTTAGTCGTGGCTTGAATGAGAGGCCAACGAAAAACTTGAAAAATATGACTCCCTTTGGCTTGAAAGAATGGCCAAAGAAGGTAGAAATAGTATTGAATACACGAACAGGCTCCTCTATCTATCAACCAAAGATAAGAGGGAATTTGCTCGGTATATGCAGCTGAAAATAAAACGACTTTATAATGGAGAGGTCTTGGACCTTAATGCTCTGATACCATGTAGATTTTAGTGATTTGGAGAGTATTTGGTCGTGAAAGAAGGTGGAGAACACAAACAAACTCTAACTAGAAACAATTAAGAACAAGAAGCCGAGAAAAGCGAAGAATAGGGCTGAAAGTGTATAGGGTGAAAGGGGACTTCGTCCCTTCTTTTTTCACTTCATAAATCTGTACAAAATGCATGAATTTATACAAGAAAAAGAGAAACTAGTCGTTGGCTAATTGAGAAACAAAAAAGGAAACAAATCAACTACAAACGGCTAGAAATAATTAAGGAAAGATTGTGCAGATTTTGTGATGATGTACTCCATGATTCTTGGCTCTTCTCCAACGTCTCTTTGGTAAAATTTGCAGCATATTCTTCATTTATTTCATCAATAAACGAAATCCTGATAAGGCAAGTGTCTTCATGTGGTTTGGAGTTCTTTTTGTTCTTCATGACAACAAGAACCGAATATAGTAAGTGTTCTTTCGTCCATAAGTTTCCCATGTCTTCATTTATGATTGAACTTGTTGAACTCAAGTGCTTCATTGAATGAGCATGTCCAAATGCTTGATTAATTCTTTGTTCTTCATCAGAACACTACAAGAACGACCTTTTCAGATTATATATACACAAATGCACACACGCATAACATATATACATATATCTATATATATATACACACACACACGGACAAATCGTTGTTTGATTTTGTACATTTTGTTGAGATTTCAGATAAAGATGGAGAAGAGAAGAAGAAATCGTCGCAGACAGAAAATGGCGCCATCGACGACGTGGAACCAAAGGTAAACAAAATAACTTGATATTCTAAGACAACTTATTTATTACATTTTTATAAAAAAAAATAAAAAAAACATCACCATGGTCGGACTAAATCGGTTTTCTCTAAAAAAAAAAACACGTGTTCTTTGGAACAAAACCATTTATCTGAACCCTTTCAAAATAGACTGGAAATTTCCGAATGATCAACATTTCTTCCACGTCATGATTCGATTTTTTGTTTTTTTCCATTTTTCCCATGGAATTGATAACGAGACAGGATCAAAGCATGGAGAGAGTGAGAAAGGCGAAGAAAGGGCAAAGAAGATTCAGGATATCATTACCGAAATCGGCAAAGCGGAAGAAGTGCCATCTGTTCAACGTGACGGCGCCTTGCTACTCCGCCGTCGTGGCAAGAGGCTGCATGGGAAACAACCACCCCAATCCTCGCCTTGCCCACGAGAAACCGTCAACCCATTGATTCGATACACATATATACATACACCTGTATTTGGCCTTGATTGACGACAGAACTAATGTACCAGAGCAACGAGAAAACTATGGGCTTAGATTTTTTCTGAGGTTAAGCTTAGTTGTATGTATGTAGATTAAGATTGTGCAACAAAAAAAATGATGGTTTAAAGACTTAGCCTCGACCGATTAAATACGAAACAAAGATTAAGATTTTCAAAAGCATTAAAAATCAGATGGTTATGATTTTTGTTCAACCGAAAAATCGAAAATAATTGAAAAACCCAAAAAATTCTTCAAAAATTAAGCATTTTCATCCTAAAAAACCGAATCTAACACAAAAATCGAATGGATATATAGATTCTCTAGAATTGAAAATACCAAAAACCGAACCCAATACCGAAATACAGAAAAAAAAAACGCCTTGTTTTCACAAACTCACATCGGGTAAGGCTCCCAAAGGAGGAAAATGTCGTAACCGGTGCAAGGGAAGAGCCTCTCCCTTACCGTATCTTCACGAGCATTATAGCTCTGTCCCCGTTTTGGATCTGCAAAGGGTGAATACGTAAGAGATGATGCTTTGATACCAACGGTAACAAGAGAAACTTTGGAAAACCGTCATTAGAACAGAACGTCTACTCACGTTCGGACCTTTTCGGAAGCTCGTTTTTCGCCTTCTTACTACAAGAATCGGCGCTGAAAAGTTCAAATCGAATCGAGCCATGGCCATTTGTTACTGAAGATTCAATGATGAACGACAGCGGCATGTCTAAGAGGGTGACATTGTTCACTTTTCAAGGCCATAAAGTTTATCAATTCAAACTCACAGTCACAACCTTGCCGTTGCACATTTAAATTCAGGCCGGGAGAAGAAAGAACGCGGCAAACCTCACTAGAGTATCAGCAAAACATCAAGTTCGGGATTAGAAAAATCTCGATGGTATAGATTTCAAGAGAGGGGACCAGCGGGCTGATTATCAGATGACACAGGGGGCTTGCCAAGGATGTGTCTGAGTTCATCAGCTTGCTGCAATTACTTCACATTGATCTGCAGATAGCTCATACCATAAATCACCCGAGTTATAGAAAATAAATACGAAATTAAGATGAGAAAAAACAAACTGCAAAAGAGATCATACTTGATTGCAAAAGAACAAAACCAGATTCAACAAGTAAATCATAATGGTTATATAATTCACTATACAAGAGACCTGTTTCACGAGTTAATCGATTCGGACAGATCGTCTGTCCGTGCAATCCGAGTTGTGTTTCAGAGGTTACACAATAATCATGAAAAGAATTTTCGATTTGAAATTCAACCGACATCTGATGGTTGGTTTGTGCAGCAACTGGGAGATCACCACGAAAACAAACATAGAATTTCATTCCCCCTAAACAGATCCAGATTGATCGTATGTAATCCGACGCAAAAATCTTCAAGAACAGTGTGTGTGATTACATAGATCATATACACAGGCAGCAACAATATTACCACATTAGTACATAATACACTTTACCATTAGCAACAACTACTAATCTGCAGTTTAGAGTTATCTAATCCCATTCCAAATCAAGCATAAAAAATCTCGGAAACAATTCGTGTACCTCATGCAGCAGCAGCAGCAGCAGCAACACATTACATCCATCGCAGTTCAGCTAGATCCCTGACTTAGATATCTCTTTCGGACATTACGTCGAGCACTTAGTGCTCCCTATTAAACTCACGAAACGACAACTTAGAACAAAACCGAAACAGATCATTGCCATAACCCTAAAACCAACGCGGATTCACGAGATCGCACGAAATTGAAATATATTCCCGCAAAAAAAAAAAGTGGAAAGAACAACGAACCGAGCTGAGTATGAGAGAGAGAAAGAGTAGTACCTGATGCGAGAGTTAAGAAAGACCACGGAGGGAAGAAACCGGCGAGACGGAGGCGCCGGCGGTGAAGGCGTCTGTCCCCAGAGAGATGCATATCTTATAAAGGCTAATGGAGACAAGTTTGGGACTGGCGGAAGGTTATTACTGGGAGATTAATAAAGATAATGACACAGACACGTGTGTATGTATATATATCACAATCATTTTGTTTCATACACATATTCAGTTCGATGAAAAACAAGATGAAAACTTTTGAAATTTATATTCGATTACTGGCATGTTTCAGTATATGAACGTGTGCGCATGTAAAAAATCTAATTTTTTTTTTTTGGTCAAACCAGAAAGTTCACCTAGGTCTTCGACCCAACCTACATCTTCCTGAGCTCGGATCTAATAAGTAAAACCGAACCGAATCAAACCCGAATGAATATGATATAATAAATCGATTGATATATATTTTATAGAAACAAAACGGAACCGAATACTGAAACATCTACCCATAACAACAACCTTATATTAGTTTCAATCCGGTTTGATTCTTTAATACAAAATAAAATCTTCGGTTTGATTCGGTTCGGTTCGGTTTTATTCGATTCTAATTTCTAATTATGCTAGGTTGTTGTTCGGTTTAGATAATTGAACAAATAAAACCCATTTCTTATATCTGCGGCCCATTGGGATACAACAAACGGGCCTAAGTGTTATTCATAGTAGGCCCATTTCTGTAATGTTCATTAATCATTACACTCGAAAATTACTCCATCTTATTATACTCTTAGATGAATTCCGAATATTAATTAACCTAAATGAATTGCATGAATTTGGAATATTATATGCTTTTTAAGGTCATTTATGTATTGGAAACAAAATAAAAAATTCTGAAACACGTTTGTGTGTTTTGTAGTAGACGTAAAATATTATATATAGAAAATAAATATAAATGGGCATCATTTATTGAAGTTGTTGTCATGTATATCTAAAAGGATAAAAAAAATAAATAAATTGATTATCTCGATTTTTGGTTTGATAATTTGCGTTCTAATGGACCGACTAATTTAATAGATAGTCCCGACTCCATATATCATTTCATGGTCTTGTTTGCATACACAGACAGAAAACACAAGTTAGGTACCAACCTCATCCATATGTGACGTTATTTTATAATATATATTATACGAATAAAGTTTTTTTTTATAATCCAGAAATTTACCAGATTTTTGGTCCGACTACATCTCCCAAAAGATCGGAGAAGTCTTGGTGAATGCCCCTCTCCACGTTTGGATTTGAACCCAGAATGAGAATATGCATTCTGCCACCACTAGACTACCCAAGTTTGACTCGAATAAAGATTTGTTAATAAGTGAAATAATGCATATATGATATGAGAGTGATACAAAATATTTTAATATTTTTTCTTTCTTCCTAAGAGGACAACGGGGATATATTCATTTGAAAAGATAGAGATATATGTTCCTATAAATTTGATGTAGATACTTAATTAAAAATATAAATAATAATTTTTTTAGTTGAAATGATAACGTTATATCCTAAAATAAAGAGTTCGAGACTAAAATATATTTCTAATAAAATAAATTTAAGTTGGAAAAAAAGACTCTGAGATATAAAACAAATTTAGATTTTTTTTTTGGTAAGATAAAATAAATTTAGTTGAAAAGGTAGAGATGTATTTGTGACAGGGCACAAACCCATGCCTTACGAGAAAGGACCAAAACTTAAATTGATGAGCTCGCATCTGCCACCAGATTCTGCTAAAAAAAAAAAAAATAATAATAATAATAATAATAATAGATTTAAACTATAATAAAACTAAAATGCAAATTGCAACATCGTTTTTAAAATCCTTTTTTTAATTGGGATATGAAGACAAAGGAGTGGGTGGGGCCCAATGAGTTTGGCCCAACCCACCGCTGGGCCCATCGTCGTCAGTCGGCCGAACCATTTCTCCGGCACCGTCGTCCCACTCGTCGCCCATTTCTACGTCCACTACAATTAATAATTATTTGTCCTTTTTATTTTGAATATTATAATTTATAATTTATAAATTATTATGCCCATTTTTTTTATTTGTCCATTATTGAAATTACACAGCAAGTTTGTTTCCTATGCCACCAAGAAAACCAAAGATCAAATTTCAATTGGACTGATCCAATCCATTTGAATAAAAAAACATTACCGACGTCAGTTACTGTTAGAAAAAAATTACATAAAAAAATATTGCTCCTGATATCCTCAGAAAAAAAAATTAATGACTTTAGTAACGGTTAAGACGGATAGTGGGATTTGATAAAAATTTTAAATAATTTATTTTTTATAATCTACAAATTCTCAAAGTTTTCATTTCAACTACATCTTATAAAAGAACTGACAAATTCATATGGGTATTTTTTTTTTCAAATGGATAATCGAATTTGGGTTAAAAAAAAAACTTTATCTCTGCCCGTACCAATTAAACAACCTGATCTTGGATAGTAGTTCGATCTTTTTATATCATTTTGATTATAGTTCATGTTGTTTTATAGAAATCGAAAATTTTAGTATTTATATTTACAAGTTTAGATAAATTTGAAAATTTAATATGTTAATCTCCCTAAAAATATAATATACACATGTTCTTTTATGATAAAATATACTACACATATACGACCTTCGCTAGCTTTGCAATCTTCTACTATCATTATATTATATTATATAATAATAAACGAGTACTCCCAAGTCCCAAATGTTTGTCTGCCATGTGGAACTTTTTTGTAATAAAAAAAAATAAGAATTAAACGATGCATTAAATCATACTAAAATATGAAAATTGGTATATTAATAAAAATGAAAGAAAAAATATATGGATTGAACTATATTTAATAAGTAAGATAATAGTATAGAAACACAAATAGAAGAAGCTGTATGAATATTAAATTAGTAATGCAATGATAAAGTTAGAAAAATATTTTAATAAATTACAAATAACAATTCAATATCTATATATTTTAATAATTTATTCAAATTAAGAAGTCACTAATATTAAATTTAAAAGTTTATTTCGAACTTTCAAATTATAAATCATCTATTGGGATAAGATAAGACCTAATATCTTGTATTCAAAAGATGTTTTACCTACAATTTCCTAATTAACAAAACAATTGTAACGTAATGAAATGGAATTTGATATCTAAAATAGCAATCAGGATGACAAGTTGATTACTATTAAATTTGTATGGTTTAAGTTCGAAAATTGTTAAGATGTTGATGACTGTATTCCACGAATTAATATGATATTAAACAAATGTACAGTTTTTTTTTTATTTTTGGGGTTAACGATATAGTTTTCACTAAAATGAAATTTTCCTAATGATAATAATAATAATGATAATAATAATAATAATAATGATAATAATGATAATAATAATAATAATAATAATAATAATAATAATAATAATAATAATAATAATGATGATGATGATGATAGTGGTATACAGACGTAACCATATTAAATGCAACATATGCTGTACGATATAAAAAGTTA